TGTCAAGTGGCTCTTGGAGCAGAAGAGAGGAGCCCAGAAAGTGACCAGAGAGCAGGGAGCTGGCAGTCTGCCCTGCATGAGGAACTCAGCACGCAGGTTCCCAGCTCACAGTCTACATTTGAACTTTGTTTCCCAGTCTGGTGGGAAAACAGAGGAAATAGGCAAGTGGGTTCCGGACCGTCTTGTTTCAAAGAAACTCTTTGTCTAGTTTCAGACAAAACCAGAACAGTTTACGGGGAGTTAAAGGGGACAAGGACAGGGTAAGGGCTGCCGAATGTGAAGAGCACCCTTCCTTGTCTTTGCTGTTTACGATTCTTGAACTGTGGCTTCCAGCCTTGAGTTCTAACCCAACAGGGCAGATTCTGGGGAAGAACTTCTGCTCTAGGGAGGGAATCTAAAAATCGAATCTGAGGCAATGAATCTCACCCTTTTCCCCTTTAAAAGACAGTGACTTGTGGAAGATGCCTTCACAACAACAGAGCTGAGGAACGGAGGGGAGAGTGGACTTTGAAGCACTGTAGCTGATCAGCAAATGACACAAACTTGTGAGTGGTGCACACAGCCTGCTTTGTGACTTGACTTTCTGATCTCAGTTGCTTTCCACTGGTGCAAGACTCAGAGCCAGAGGTGAGACTGGCCCTTGCATTGTGTCATCTCAGCTAGGAAGAATTTATCACAGCACATGAGCACCACAGGAAGGAAGGAAGTAATTTGCTGTCCATGGCAAAGGCTCAGCTATGTCCCACTGAAAGCTCCAGTGTGCAATTTAAACTCGATATATTTTCTTTTTCTCTTAAAAATGGTGTTTATTTCAGATTTGGTCACAAAGGAATAAAATTCAAAAATTACTGAGAAATTTTAAGGAAGAAAACAGAAACAACTTACAATCTGATTTCCAAAAGTAACCAGAGAGCATACACTGGATATCTTTTAATATATAAAATACTAGAATACACAGAGGAATAATTGGCAGCATATAGTTTAGCAAATTGGCTTTTAAATATGTAATTTGTATTATAGTTTTTACAACATTTTATGAAGTATATTCATCCCCAACATAGTTTCAAAGGCTTTGAAACATTTTCCTTTAAATTTTCATTATTGAAATGTTTAGTGAAGAAAGACATCAGCCCTTCCAGGCCCCAAACTCCTGCAAGCCCAGCTTCAGGTGAGATTAGGTCTGGGGGAGGGGAGACACTCCCCATCCCCTGCCCAACACCCATCCCCTCGAGCTTCCAGGGGCTACTCCTGGCATCCAGAAGACCTGCCCACACAGAAAAGACATCAGCCCTTCCAGGCCCCAACCTTCGGCAACCCCAGCTTCAGCTTAAGCTTCAGTGTCAGCATCCCCAGCTTCAGCTTCAGGAAGGAAGGAGCCCAGTGGAGACAGAAAGACCCCACCAGCACCCACTGGAAGAAGAGATGGGAAGAAGACAGAATAAGAGATCACTCAGCAATAGAAAGACCAATATGACTCCACCAGAATCTAGGGAACCAACACCAGCAAGACCTGAAAAGCACTACATAGATGAAGCAGAGGAGACAGACCTTAAAAATTATTTTATGAAGATGATAGAGACCCTCAAAGAAGAAATGAGGAAATCCCTTAAAGAAATAGAAGAAAAAACAAAAAAATACATGAAATGGGGGAAAATTCAAGAAATAAACAAATCTCTCAAAGAATCTAAAGAGCACCAAGAAAAAACAACCAAACAAATGAAGGAAACAAGGCAAATTCATACAACAAGGGCATCTGCTCCACTATGTTCATAGCAGCATTGTTTGTAATAGCCAGAACCTGGAAGCAACCTAGATGCCCCTCAACTGAAGAGTGGATAGAGAAAATGTGGTACATTTACACAATGGAGTATTACTCAGCAGAAAAAAACAATGGAATCTTGAAATTTGCAGGTAAATGGATAGCACTGGAAGAAACCATCCTGAGTGAGGTAACCCAGTCGCAAAAAGACAAACATGGTATGTACTCACTCATATATGGATTTTAGACATGGATCAGGATAGTGCCAGTCTGCACTTCCACTGGTAGAGAGTCTGGGAAACAGGAAAGAACCTAAAAGATATGCATAGTACCCAAGAGAAGAGGAATGAGGCAAGATCCTCTGAACAGATGGGGAACACGGCGAGGGGCAGGTGGGGGGGAGTGGGAGCTGGGAAGAAGAGAGGGGGAGAAGAGGAAGAGAGAGTAGGTTATGGTGGAACAGGAAGGTTGGGTTGGGGGGGTAGAATATGGGGAAGAGGGAATCATAGGTTAGAAGACAGATCAGGCACCAGTGTGACCTCTAGTGATCTAAAGGGATGACACCAATTGGCAAGCTAAGCAGTGGTGGAGAGACCACCTCGAATGCCCCTTCCTGATAATGAACTTGATGTCTATAACCATCCTGGAGCCTTCATCCAGTGACTGATGGAAGCAGAGGCAAACACCCACAGTTAAACCCTGAACTGAACCCATGGAACCCAGTGACAGAGAGAGAGGAGCGAAGAGCAAATTGGCAAAGAATGGGTTGGCAAAACCAGCAGAGACAGCTGATCTGAACAGGGGAGAGCTCTTGGACCCCAGACCGACAGCGGGGGAGTCCAACATGGGACTGATCTGTACCCCCTGAATGTAAGTGTCAGTGAGGAGGCCTGGGCAACCTATGGGGCCCTGGGCAATGGATCAGTGTTTATCCCTAGCATACAAACGGACTTCGTGTGTCCATAGCACAAAGAGGGATGCTCTCTCAGCCTGGACTCTTAGGGGAGTGCCTGGACCCTTCCCTGAGTGAAATGACAGACTCTAGATATCCCCTATGTGGAAGGAATTGGCAATAGGGTGGGAGGCTGGGGGGGATGGAGGGGTGCAGGAGGAGGGGAGGGAGAGGGAACTGGGATTGACATGTAAAACAAGCTATTTAAAATTAAAATTTTAATAATTAAAATAAAGACATGCTTAGTGAAGTTTTTTAAAACGAATTATTTTCATTTAAATTTAATAAATCGCATGTACATGCATTGTGTGTACATGGGGGCATGTGTGTCTGTGTCTCTGTGTGACTGTGTGTAAGTGTGTGTGTGTATGTGTGTGTGTGTGTGTATGTATGCATAGGCCAGAGGTCACCATTACGTGGTTCCTCTATTGCTTTCCTCTCTATTTTAGTGAGCTGGGTTGTCAGACTCACTCCTATGTTTCTACATTGGTGTTGGGGATCCATACTTAAATCCTACTGCTTGCACAGCATGCACTTTATGCACCTAACCCCAATTATTATTTTTAATTGTATATATTTATATATTTAATTGTATATATTGTACATAACTGAGAGAGAGAGTATGGTGTTATAATTTGACATATGTAAACAATGCATAATGGTCAAATCAGGGTAGTTGACATTTCTATCTCCTTAATTTAGAAAGTGTGATGCATAATCATTGTCAATGTTGATGGGGACCTTATGATGCTTCCATGCATACAAGATGCAGTGGTCAGATGTTGGATATTTTCATTTCCTTAAAACCAGACTTTGTTTGTAGGGTTGAACTAAATGAAGGTGCAGGTTAGCTTCCTTCAAAGGACACATGGGGAAAGACTGAAATTTCCAGAATGGTAGTAATGGCTTAAGAGGGAGCTTCTTTTTCTTCCTTGGTTTTCTTGTTCTCCTTAACTTCGGTATATAAAGACTTGGGACAAAGTTCTCCCATTTCCTTTTCCTGTTTTTCAGCAGTATTATGCAAGAACCCAATCAAATTACTTGGAATAATTTGCCGTTTGTTGTGTGAAACATGTTATAAAGCATCCAGATATCATTACATCTATGACAATAGCTGCATGTCAATAACAATAAACAGAAATGCATAGAAATAGCTGAAACTGGGTGTCATGTCAATGAAGAAAGCATCTTAATCCCATTCAGCTGACAAACTCTAGGCTTTTTAGAAATGACAGGCATGTGTGTAAACTGCAGGATGGCTGAATTTCCAACTCAAGTGGTGAGTATGACCTTACTTTAGTGGGTAATGAAATATTCTAATGCAGTCCCTGGCATCTCATTCTGCCTCTGAGATGAGAGCCACCTCTGCCATTACTTGCTCAGCAGGGAAGGATGGCTTGCTCATTTGGTTAGCATACCCTTCCTCTGAAGTCAAGGCCACAGAATGATGCTATTTGAATCTGTAATTCTCTAATTGCTTCAGGACCACAGGAAGCATTTAAATATATTCTAAGCATCTTTTACAGAAAACAATATATGTGTTGTAGTCAAATGGGTGGCACAATTTAGACATAGTTGGTTGATAGTATCACAGCTATGACTGTGGTGGATAGAATTTGAAGGTATTTTTCAAGATACATTGCCTCTACTATTACATTTAAGATTGTATGACGGCAGGGAGATCGGTATGTGGGACCGATCATGTGTAGACACACTGAGAAAGATCTAAAATGTAGGAAGGTTTCACACTTGAATGAGAATGTAGTTATAAAAACATCCTTTTGTACAATGAATATGTGCTAATAAATGTTAAAACATAGATGAAATAACACAGAAAAATTCAAAATACACTAGTAGCCACTTTAGAAAAAAGAAGAATTAAACCCATCAATGCTAGCTTGAAGATGGTGGGATCCCATGAAAAATGTATGAAGAAGGTAAATCTTTTAACAGCAATGAACTTGAAAGACCCATAAACTAAAGGCATGATATTTTTAAAGTATTTAAATCAGGTTTAAAAAATTATGGCATTTAATATGGTATCATTAAAGTGATAAAGCGTGTGTGTGTGTTTGTGTGTGAGACAATAAGTCACACAAAATATAGAAATATATGCAGGCTATTGTAGAGGATGGTCATTTAAATCTAGCAGAGTAGTGTAAGATTGATTCTCTTTAGAGAGCTGAATAAAATGAACTTTCCTGGTGCTGTGTGTGAAGAATGGGTATCTAAAGTTACTATAATGGAGAAGGAGATGGCAACTGTGATTCCATTTTTTCTTAGACTTACCGCATCTCACAGAAGGGCAATCTTGTCGATGTTCTTTTCGAAAGGTTCTCCTGAGAGCAAAGTGAACCTCAATGACAGGGGGCTCAGGAAGGTTCATCATCATTATTCATCTAAAGTCTGAAAAGTGTTAAATTTGGGGTAGTTTAATGGAGGGCACCACTAGTAGTTGTATAACACACAAAGGGATCTGAGCCAACTTTTGGCATGCACTGAAAGCACATAATTATAGAGTCCAGAATTCACAACCTTGAAAAGGCCAAACCAATACTGAAATCATCATTATTGATGTTTCTTAAATTCTTCACTACAAAGTCAGAGTAGTAGCCATTTCTGCTCATTATATTAAACCAGCATGCTATGATAAATGGAAATTTCTTCTGAATCAGTGTCTAACTGAGGCCAAGAATTAAGGACCCCACATTTACATTCTCCCAAACCTTGTTTTTCTTCTCTGTTTGGATGCCCTGTGCTGGCTTGTGTAGTGGACTATCCTGGGAGCTGAAGGAAGGCAAACTAACCAGTAAACAAGAACAATCTCTGCGTTTCTTGGGATTTGAACCGAGAACATGTCTGTGACTACGCAGTTATGCTCAGGTATACAACCTTCCCACAAACCTTGCCCCCTGTGAGAAGGTACCCACCCATCCTCCACCCACACAAGCCATTCCTAAAGCAGCCTTTTTGGGAAAACAGGAATGAACAACTGTCTTCTATCTACTCAGTAATTAGATTTTGTAATAAATCTGTCTTCTTTGCCTCCACACCTTGGTACCTCCTGTATGGTAAACAGACAGAATAGACTTGGGTCTGGGGATATTCCTTTTTAAAATCACTATTCTCTCCTTTTTTTTTTTTTTTTGGTTTTTTGAGACAGGGTTTCTCTGTATTGGAGGCTGTCCTGGAACTCGATCTGTAGACCAAGCTGGCCTCGAACTCACAGAAATCCTACTGCCTCTGCCTCCCCAGTGCTGGGATTAAAGGCGTGTGCCACCAACACCCGGTGACATTCCTTTTTAAAATCACTACTATCTCCTTTTTTTGGACTACCTTTTGATTGTTTTGTTTTGTTGTTGCTTTTAAAAATTGATTTAAAAACATTTATGTGCACGTGTCTGTGTGAGCATATCCTACCTATTTGCAGATTATCTGTGAAGGCCAGAAGAGAGTTTCAGATTTTCCTGGAGCTGGAGTTATAGGTGGACGTGAGCTGTCGGAGCTGGGTTCTAGGAAACCCAACTCAGGTCCTCTGGAGAACAACAAGTGATTTTTACTGCTGAACCACTTCCCCATTTTTAAAGCTCAGGTTGTGTTAAGTAATCAGGTTACCCTCAGACTCTCTTTAGCTTAGGCAATCTTTCTGCCTCAAGCTCTAAGTGCTGGAATTGTAGGTGTGCACCACGACCAAGATAAGCTCCAGAATTTGTTTTAATTAGATGTTACAAATCCACCAAGAATGAATATAAATCTGGCATTATCATTGAGGAGATTTATAAGGTTTTCTTACCTAGTTAGGGGCCAGAAAGAATAAGGGATACATTATTATATGAACTGGATCATTGCATTGGCTTATGTGATGGAAAAAGCATGATTCTTTGGAACTGTGATACCTTTATTTCAATATGGCTCCAGAAACTGATCTTAGGTAGATTCAGTTAAATTGGGGGATGAAAGGGTCACATTGAAGGCTAGAGATAGGTCCTCTTTGCAAGCCACAAAAGACAGAAAAGGGGCCAACAACACTTACTAAGATCTTGCTGAGACACAACCATATGAAAATAGAGAAGTAAGTGTCTGCATACCCTGGGGATATATGAAAGCCTCTCTGCCTCTGTGTCCCTAGGAATCTTCTCTGTTTGCAGTGAGGTTACCTGTTAGAACAGGTAGAATGAAAGACTGTGTGTGTGGGGAAACCAACTATAGTATTGGATCCCAATCTAGGAGCTGATGACTGACTCTTAGGAATTGTAGGTTAGCAGTAGACTAACAGATTTTGTGGGTATAAGGGAAAACAAAGCATGGGGAAACATAACCAAGCTACAGCAACTGCTATCACCATGCCCCACCTCTCCAAATGACTATGAAAGCAATTCTTTCTGCTCTCTGATAGCATGGCCCATGAGTAATCGTTTGACAGGTGCCAACCCAAATGTTTGCCTTTATCTTGTGCCATCATTGACTATGCTGCAGAAATCAGGATGTTTTCCTTCTCTCTGTGAAGCCTGGCTTAGCAGGTTTCAGTGACATCAAGGAAATACCACTGCCCCTGTTCCAGTTGCTCTGGCAGTCCACTTAGAGCATACAGAGTGAGGTCATATATTTGGTAGGGTGATGTCTTACTTAGGACAGACAGAAATGCACCTCCAGCTGCCAACTGGAAAAGCATTCATAAGAGTTCTGTGGTACAATGTAATTTTCACATGCTTTGTGGGAAGGTAGACCCAGGTTTACTGACAGATTGAACAGATTCCTTTATCTCTCTGGCTTCCCTTCTGCCTTATATAATACAATTGCCATGAAAATTATTTGATATAATGTATGACAGTGTTAATTCAATGAATATCAACCATTTTACCTTCAACTATCTGTGAACCAAGGAAAAGGTTTTGGCATACTCATCTCCTAGCCTTGCAGGTAGACTACCTAGTTTCTTGAACTGTGAGGGGAAAGGCATTATTGTGTAAGTCACGCAATCATGGAATTCTGTTATAACAGCCTAGTGAACCAAGACACTACCTAACTACATAAAGAATGGGGAAAGGAGAATAAATGGCACCGAGGGAAAGGTTGGTTTTGCACAAGCTTTAATCAAGCCCTTGGGATTTCTTCCCTTGGCAGCTCCTCTGTTGTTTTATTTTCTTCTTTATTTCATCCCCTGAATCAATGTGATTAGGAGCTTGTTGGTCTCCATGGACCTTGCTAGTATATTCTTAAGCAGCTTCTCATTCCCAAGGCAGACATCCTTCAGAGGGGAAAAGGACCTTTCCTGAGTTTAATCTCAATATGGCTGGGTTCAGTTTGCATCTCATGTTGAACTTGGGATATTCAGAGCATTTATAGTTGCCAACTTTTTGGGGGGGCTGGAAAGTGGGGTTTCTATCATGAATACATTCAGTTGCTTCTGGGGTCAAAGGTGCAGGCAACCATGAGCAGTCTTCTGCATTCCTACCTGACTTTTCTTTTGGTAGAAATGCCTCTACCCAAAAAGAACTAAAAGTGAATTTAACTCTTTAGTTCTTTCAGAAGCTTTATTTACTTTTACCTTATAGACACTCAGTAGGGTTTTATGAAATTATTTAACTTTGTAAATGCTCATTAGATAGTTTTACTGTCATGAGAAGTTTCCAGACTCAAGTCTATTAATTTACGTGCTGTTCAAAAATGTCCAATGATACTTTACTATTTTAGGGTATCCTAAGAGTTTGAACACTAGGTTGCATGTGTATTCTTTCTTTAGAAATAATTCCTAAGCTAATTGATGGGGGAAGTTCTTTTGTGTATATGTTGTCTTACTAGTTTATTAAATAAAGCACTGTTGGCCAATAGGGAAACAAGATAGGTGGGACTAGGAGTTGAGAAGGATTCTGGGAAACAGAGGCACAGTCGGTCACAATTTGGAATAAGAGGTCTGGACCCTTTCTCTTGTAAGAGTAGACCACGTGGAAATACTCAGATTAGCAGTTATGGGTTAATAATTAAGTCAGAGATAGAAGATAAGAAACCAAGCATACGGCCAACAGCTTCATAACTAATATAATGTTTCGTATGATATTTGGGGGTTGAGACAGCTGCAGGACCCAGGTGGCTGGTGGGAAGAGTACACATTACAGCTAATAACAATGATAGCAGCATTAGCAAGAAATACTACTTCCTAATTGGCCTTTATGCATTCCGGGTTCTTTTACAGGCATTTCCTAATTTGCACAAAGTCCTCACGAAGGGGCTAGTTACCTGAGGAAGTGGAATGGTGCTGCTAGGAGCTCAGCACAGAGAGAAATTAAGAGTTATTATTTACTGGGTTCAGGGCTTCGGTGAGAGAAGATGAAAAGCTCTGAGACAGATGGTGATAAAAGTCAAACAAACAATGTGAATGACCCAGAACTATACATTTAAGAATATTTTTAGCATGGAGGTGGTGGCCATGTTTTTAATGTCAGCACTCAGCAGGCAGAGGCAAGAGGATTTCTGTGAGTTTAAAGTCAGTCTAGTCTACAGGGCAAGTTCCAGGATAGCCAGAGCCAAGCTTGACAAACAACAACAACAACAATCAAAAACAAACAACAGAAATGTTTTGAAAATATTTTTGCTACAATAAAAGTTAGTCAATGACTAGAAATCATAAAGAAAAAAAGAAATCAAATAGTGTGTCTGAAAATATGGAGTTCATAGCTGCAATCCAGGTGCCATCTTTGGAACCTGGTGAGATTTCCATCAGCAATTATTTAGTCCCTGCCACCTCATCCATGTTTCACTCTCTCAAGGAGTCTCCTTGTCTTGGGCTCTGTCAGTTGTCATGAATCATGTTCTTTCACTGCTGGCCCATACAATGTGTATTTTAGTCTGAAAATGGCAACTCTTGCCTATCCAATACACAATCGAACTTGAAGAAAGAGACTGTGAGACTGAAATGTTTGGGATTTATCAATAGCCAAACACAGCTTTTGCCAAAGACCCCAAACACACCTTGTTCTATTGGGGGTCCCCCAGTCACTGAAAACTGTAGAGTTCTTATGACCATGTGGGACAGAAACTTCTGTCTACAGAAAACACCCAAAATCTGTTGTGGCAGTCTGGAGCACTGGGGCCTCTATAAATGTTTTACTTCTACTGTGGTACATTTCCCCAAAAAACATGTTGTATGCACATGCTCAATTTATTTTAAATTTCTATTTACTTATTTTGACAAAAAACTGGACCCTAGAAAAATTTAACCCCCTAGGTAATATTATGTACTTTCTTAGAATAAATATTACCCAGTTCTTCAGAAAGTATAAAGCACTTGCCTGTGTCCTTGCTGTGTCCCTTCCTGAAGTCTCTGTATATGAGTATGTAGAGACATTTGGGATAATGGCACCACAGGTGTTTCTACTTCCTCAGAACACATTGTTCATGGACTTATT